GTCATAAAACAATTTTTATTTTCTTTTTATTGTTTGTTTCTCAAAGAATTGTTTTATTTTTCAATTGCTGCAGCATGTTTTTCAGGTTCTGTGAAGGAAACTGCAGAACGTAGTGTTGCTTATTTGAAATCTACAGTAATTGTAAACATCTCTGACACAGCACATATACAATACATCCAACTCTGGCAGGACAGGTGGAGGGCAGATGCAGTCTATATCAATAAAAAACAGATGCTGCTGGCTACACCTGCCGTCTTGTTCCCTTGTTCCATTCCAGGCAGAATCCAACTAAAAAAAACATAAGTGCGCTGTCAGTCAAGCTTTCAGTCTGCAGCCCGCAGTCACACTTTGATAAACTCACTCCTGAAATTTCCTCACCGGTGCTTTCATTTGCAAGGATAATCTTGTTTTTTTTTTTTAAGCATGTTCTAATCTTGTTTGCTCAGCTGGAGGCTTTTGGTATCCGTTCCTGAATCCATTTTGCCCACTTGCCCAGAAATTAAGCAAAGTAAGCACTTGCCAAAGGCCTAAAAGTGCCATCAAGTAACAGCATTCTATCAAGAGTTTCTCCTGTGTTAGGTGAACGTATTATGAATTCTAATCATAACTATTAACATCAGCAAGACTACACAGACTATCCCTCTTTCTTACATTCAAACTAATGCCATAACAGAATCCAAATGCAAAGGTTTTTTTAACACTTGAAAATGGCATTACATCATCACTCATACTTCTAAAAACTGATTTCCCGTTTCTAACAATCTGTCATACCTGGCTTCCCCGGTACAGTGACTCGTGGTGTCGAGGGAAATCTCCGTTGACTTGAAAGAAGATAGCGATACAGTACTTTAGAAGGTGCAAGGCCTCGGTTTTATTGGCTAAGAGAGCAGGATATAGATCTCAGAGGCCATTAGTGGAAACAGAAGCTAAACATGGGCATTACAGGTAATTTAAGACCAAAAGGACACATGATATGAAACCATGAGTCATTATTCCCTATCATTATCGAGTAAAATATGAAAATCAGGATATAAAAAAGGTCTAACACATGCTTTTGTTTGGATATCAGACAATGCCAGAAGGCTGGTAATCTACAACATAACATAATTGCACTATTGGTTTTGGACGGAGCCCTACTTGTGTCCGGTGTCTCCACCTAACAAGCTAATTAAATTAAGAGGTTTTGTCAACTGGCACCTCCAATGTCTGCCTCTGGTAGTATCTGCTCCCCGATGTGCAAGTCAGCAAAAAATGGCCCCGTTATGAATTCCTTCACTATTCCTCTTCAGTGCCATTGATCGGACTGCCAATACCGCACTTACAGTAACAGTGGCTCCCACACTGGCCTTTACTGACACTGAGTAATGGAACAAACACATTAGGTATTTGCTATTTGGCCTGTCATCTACGTTTGCTGCCTCAGATTTGTTTATTTCATTGTTTGCACTGTGTAGCTTTATTTTATCTCTCCCCTCCCTTTTCATGCTCCAGGCAGCACTGTAATTTTGTGCTCCTTCACACACCTCTTCCCTTCATCTCTCCTAATGCCTCCAGTTGTGCATCGTGGCGCTGGCTCGGCTCCAAAGCAGGCTGAATCACAATGATGGTGTCAGTCCTCAGCTGAGTCCCAAGTCCCACCTCAATCTAAGCACAGCACAGCCTCCTTTTCCTGTATCTCTCCTCCTTTGTTTCCACTTTGTCTTAGCTCTATCCTTCAACTCTATTTCTTGCTCTTCTCCATCTCTCTTGTATAAGCTACAACTCTCCTTTCTTTTTTCCTATCTCACACGCTGCCTTTTTTCTGCCTCTGTCCTCAGCCAGACTCATTGTTTCTGAAGAGGTCTAACACTCAATCCTGACTTCTGCTTCCTTTACTCACCTTTCTCTTTTCTTTGACCTCCAAACCTAACCTCAGCCTCCAGACTATACTGCAGTGAATGAAGTAAAGCACCCCATCCTGATTCTGGTTTGGCAGACCCTGAACAAATCCCCAAACACTGCAGACAGAACATAATGTAATATTAAAAAGGCTCCGGCTTTGGTTTCAACACAAGCTGATACCTCAACAGGAAGTTCAATTACAACACAAAAGATCAACAGTAAAAGGATAAATGTGTTAGAATCAAGTCTCCGCATTGACGCAAGCCGGCTATAGCGCTGAGCTGGTGATCGATTGAAATGATATCACACCAACTTCAGCATGCATCCTGCATATACACACTGACAGATGATTTATTTAGTCAGAGCCAATCTTGCAGGTTTAATCCAGAGCAGTGTGTTGGGGTGCTTACGCTTTTGAGTATTAATGAGGCAATCCATCACACACCAGTTCACAGACTGTTTGTAAGGCAACAAAATGGAGGCATGAGATTAATTTTGATAATGAAATAAGAAAGTCATTTGGCTAGTTGTGTGTGAAAATGTTTTCTTTAATATAATGTTATACACTATCTGACATACATAAATGTGTGGTATGTTTCATACACATCAAGTATTGCAGAAGCACAAAAGTTCTGTAAGTGTAAACACTTATTATCACAGTTCATTCACAGATTGATAGGGACATTCAAGGCTATGCTCCTGTATATATTTATAGCACTGGGTAGAAAATTTCCAGCTTCTACCATCTGCCAGCCTTTTAATATCTAAGACTCGTTCTCCTCTAGTGAATTACAGCATCCTCCCCCCAAAAAATATTTCATTACTTTATGCAGAGGGAATAATTGCACTTGGGGGCCTTGATATTTCCTCCTTCTCAATACCACTGCACCCATATCCAGCTCATTAGTTGAAACATCTGCTCTTTCCTGTGACTGTGTTTCTTTAGCCACCATTTCTTTGTTTGTCTTTGAAACAAAAATGCACATTCAGACATAGCACATGTGCGTGTACTCAAACACATACACATACAAAAGAACGACTAAAAATACAAAAGATTGAAGTATCGTATTCTAGGAGAGCAAAACTCATAGTACTCTAAGGGTTTTAAATAGGAAAAGATAATAGTCTATTTATTCTAATAGTCTAGCATTTTAGTGCCATATCAAAATGAATTACACTCAAAAGTCAAATTTATCCGCAGAGGCATTTGAATAGTTATATGCATATATTTTCTCCGAGAGCTAATTGTCAAATGTTGTCTAGACCTTGCGTGAGTCATCTTTCGGTTATGTTGCTGAAGTATATAATAAGTATTCTCCATTACATCACATCTTCTGTGAGAGGACCTGCCTCTGAGCCTCCCACAGTAAGATCAGCGGGCCGAGGAGGGGGAATTCAGGCAGCTCCATGAATCTTTAATTAGTCCCCTCTATACTTAGGCCCTCAGAGCGTCTCCAGTTTCTGACATTTAGCTGAAATTTGCCCTTTGTGCGTGGGGATGAGAAAGATCCAAGGTCACCTGACTGACCACAGCGATATCAAAATCTCCCTTTATTAGCTTACATGTGCCATTTTGTTTTTGGAGCTACATCTCAAATCTGAGAATGCGCCATTTTCATGTACAAGTCTGTCTGAAGCTCTTCTTATAGTAGGTTGTTTGGTGTGGATTGAAAATCAAAAACCTCATCTTTCAATTTAAACCACTGTCTCACACACAAAATAACAGTACTGCCACTGTAGAACTACTAAGTAATTAATATAAATAATTTGCCTCACTTTCACTGCTGCTGGTTCTCAAAGAAATTGTGTAGCATGACAAGCCCATCTTGGTGCTAGGCTTTCATCACTCAAATCAATGGCCCATTTCATCGAAATACAATCCTTCCCCTGTCTCTGCAGCAGGACGATTAAGTTCCATTCAAATTCTGCTGACATGATTTTATCTCTTTGGTAGAGGCCGGAAAATTGAAGGAGGAAAAAACAGGATTTCACAAAAATAAAAGCAGACGAGTTAAGAAAAAATAGCTTTTCGTTGCAAAAGTGACAATGTTCTGTTTTGGTAACATCATGTGTTTTTAATTTTGTGAGATGAGACCGAGCACTAGAACATTTGGTGCCATTGCTACTATGAAGATGATCACTCTTCTGAGGTATTTAGAAAGAAACACAATAACGTATCAAAAACTCTACTGGTCTTGAAAACAGCATATGTTTGCTTCATAATGCATGATGCATGATGTCAGCAGAGATTTGCTGAACCATATGGCACCTCAGTAGTTAACATATTTCTGAGGACACATTTAAGGAAGTAACTCTCATTTCTCCTTCAAGAAAACTGAAATATTGGAATCATCATAAAAGACCAGGAAATATCTGTATGATTTGGGCACCAGCTCTTGTAAACAGAGATAAAGCAGTGCTTTATTAGTATTCCTCAGAATTGTTTCCTGTCTTACTTCTCCATACCTGTTGTTCCCCCTAGAGCTACTTAATCTTTCCACAAACATGCCATTAATTATTTAAAAATGGAGGATTACAGAACCATTACTGAAAAAACAATTAAGAAATGACAACATAATTTGAATGAAAATGACATCTCTTTCCCTAATGATATCTGATGTGGATGTGTATATCCCATCATGACAATGCTCATTTTTATAAAAAAGAACCACTCTCTTACAGCAGATCTCTGCTGTAATGTCTCCTGGTGTTCATAAAGATAAACTGACTCATACAGTATCTCATTTCACCGTGGGCAGAATGAAGCATTCAAATTGTTGCATTATAATGACTACTTAATAGCTCACAGTTGTTTGGCATTGTTGCCAAAGGCTCCCGCATATGTTCAAATCTTGCTTTTAAGCTTTTCTATTGAATATGTACAATTTTTACTACTAAACTTAATTACTTTAATTTAATACATAATTTTTCTGATAAATATTTAGTCCAAATATTTAGTGGATCTGTATTTGTCCTACAGAGAAATCTAAAATATTTAATATAGTACTACACTCTTTCACAGCTCACCACCTAAGGATCACTTTTTCTCCTACAATGATTCTGACGCAGTTTACATGGATTTCACTCAAGGCTGGAGCCACAGAAGGAGCCATACTTACTGTAGTAAAGTTCTCTGGACCACAGTCCTTGCCTCTATATTTGCAGTCAAGCAACATCTCGTCTATGTTGTGGCTAGCCCTCTGCACAAACTCCAGCATGTTGAAGGTCTTGCTGGGGAAAAACTTGCTGTTGTCAGTGGGCTGCCCCAAAGCAGCCATGAAGTCATCAAAATCCCCTTGCTCCACACCCAACAGCCCGGCCATCCAGAAGATGTCATTTCTACGGATCTGGGACTTTCGATAGCTGTTGTAGTTGCAGAGGGTGATGGCTGGGAAGTACATGCTGGGACTGTCCATCTCATCTAGGATGGTGACATGAGGGTACTGGTAATACTCAATCACACGATCGGCCACTTGGTAGAGAAAGATGGAAAGGGAAGAGCTGAATGCGGCAGCCCAAAGCAGCCGTCGGATAGTCACTCCACCAGGCAGGAAGATGTGGCTGAGGCCGTGGAGGGTACAGTTGGCCCCGAACACAGTAATGTCGGACGGCGGACGGGGAGCTTCTTCCTCTGGGGCTCCCATTATCACCAAAGAGTTTACAAGTTAAGACTTGTGATTGCAGGATGTTGTCTTGCTGCAGTGGTGACCCGCTGAACACTGGTGCTAAAAGGGAGGTTCACCTAAACTAAATGTACAAGGGAGGCGCAATGAGAAAGGGTCTAGTTTCCTCTTTGTGGCCGAGGGAGGGGAAGGGGGTTGGATATCTGGAGCTGGGAAGTAGCGATGGACTGTTATATCAACCAATCCTCACTGAGATCTTAGAGGGCACATTGAATTTAAGAGATCCGGTTTCATTTGGGAAGTAAGACCTGATCCCACAGTGGGTAGTGGAGGATGGATCAGACAGGGATACACCAGAGAAGCAAAGATGAAAACTGAAACATATTCAATTTAGTGACCTCCAATGGATCCAAATTCTTAACTCTTTTATAACACTGATTTATCCTGGGATGGTTTCTTGACAGGCATCAGTGTTACTGTGTAACCAAAACCTTGTAAATCCAACTTGAAGGCCTTCAGTGTTTTAACTTCAGAAGAAACTAGTTCTATTTAATTGGTGAAAAATACACCTTGACCAAATCATCACCCAATGGAGACATCACAAATGTGTTCTTACTTCCTGAAAAGTTGACTGTTTGCAGATACAAAATGTCAGCAATTCCCAATTAGCATCACATTTAGTTACAGCAGCCCACACAAAGCCTGAGCTGCCATGTACAACCACAATAATCTATTGTTAGCCACTGAGAGCAACACTGGGGAAATGGTTTAGTGCTTTCCTTAATGAAACCTTAACTGACGTTGTTGTGTGAAAGGCCAAAGTATTACTCATTCATGTTTTCCCATTAAGCTTATTGCAGCTGGATTCAAACCTGGCACCCTTCTTAGTCACAGACTCACATTTATAATCTTTAGGCAACCATCATTCCTTCTGAACTTGTAGATTTCTTGTAGCGATTATACATAATACAATGACATAAGTCACTCTGGAGAGTCAAAGAAGGCATTCATCTACTGTACACATTCTCAATGACCTCTTTAAAACCATTAAAAAGATCAAAAAACAACTTAGGTTCTAGTCAATACAACCATAGCTGATCCCTTAAGTTTGCAGCACACATCATCCTCTATCTTGCTGCAGCCTCCCTATCATGCGTTTTGTAACAGCATCAATTATTAATGCATTCTCCTGCATACATTTCAACTCGTGGACAGAGGTGTATATTCGCAAAATGTAGGCCTGAGGTTATTTTAGTTCATCCTAATAAGCATCCTTCTTGACTGAAATTGATTTGCTCAGAGCTGTATTCATTTAAAATGAAGTTAATAAGTTAACTGATGTTGGAAGCAAAGCACGGACCTCTAATCGCCTGTCAGGATTACTTAGAACATACCTGATTAACCCATTCTCTCCCGGTTGTTTCAGCTTTTCTTTACCCACCCACCAATCTCTATCCTGTACACCTCTTCCCTCTTACATACATCCCCTTATCAAACCTTAAAACCTTCTGCACATATATTCCTCCTCTCATCCCCCTCCTTAATTTAATTCTGTGCATACCTCTCTCAGCTCTACTTCATTCAGTTACTGTCTGGAGCTTCCAAATATGTGGCGTGTTATATTGATTACTTGGTTACCTTGAGCTGGGCAGTGCTGTATATGTGATATTCGATCCTTAATATTTCCTTAATACTGAAACAAATGACATCTTGAAAGGGGTCACTTGTAGTGATGAACCTATAGAGAATTATCACTTGAATCTGCAACTTCCCTCAACTTAACAGAGCTTTATAGCAAGTTTCAGCTCATTGTGTAGCTGTCCAATCGGGAACTTTACTGTTTTGGTACACTCTTATAGTGTAGTTTTTGGTCATAGCAGGTGAGCCCAGTGGAGCAGCTAAAGAGCAAAATATTTCCCTCAGGAGTTGGTAGAGACCAAACACAGAGCTCAATATTATACTTCATTAGGTTTACACAAACATGACTCCAAATTAATCACAGTATTGGTCTAAAACTGCTGGATGTGTAAATAACAAATGGTTGGCCATAAGTTGCCCATATGGACTTGTTATTGCAGGTTTAAGCTCCTTTTGGTGTCAATAAAGATCACAGTGAACTTTCATAGTTATAGATGTACAATGCATTGCATTGCATCAGAAAGTGGAGATATTATGTATGAAAACCTTAAATCTGCAATAGGTAATGTTTTGGCCACTTGGGGGCAGCACAACAACCTCTAAATAAAACACTGATTTATTGATCCTATAAATGATACAGTCGATCGTCTCAAAGTCTACTGTTTCCAATGACTGCAGGCTATTTCTGACATAGGCAATATGTGTTTCAGCAATAAAGCCAAAAACAGATTAAAACAAAAACAGCAATATTTGAAATGTGCAACAATTTTTATGATTAAAATCTCCAAATCCAGTTCATTTGAAAAAAATGGGTTTAGCCCTTTAAAATCCAATCCAATCAGACATCAATCACTGATATTTTCATTTCGCTGAATTCCGGCGGCTGCATCTGTTTCCAGTCAGTCATTAACTGGAAATAACTGTCAGGAGCTGGCCAAAACAATGGGCTGAAAGATGCTCAAACACTCCAGAGAGCTAAGGGGAACTACAGGGTCATCACTTTCTGTGGGTTAATCGCTACAAATGTTTTTCACATTACATGTAGTCTTTTCATTCATTGTTAATGTAAAAATATTGATTGGAGCAGCTTTAACAGCTCTAACATTACCAATGGGGTTGCCATTGTGTGTCTGCACTAACCACTGACTCAGCCCTTACTCCATCACTTAATGCATGTCAGCAAGAAAAGGCACAAGAGTAGGTCATACCTTATAATTACTACAAAGTTAATAATACATACATTCTGTAGATACTTTCACACTTACTAACGTACTGTTGTTTGAAAGGCTTTAAATACCTTTTTTAAGTAAAATACAAAAGCACAGCACTGCAAAGGCTACACAATGTTCTGACTCTGTAATTAGAGTGACAATCAAGGGATAGATAAACAGAAAACACAAAGGCAGCCTAATCTAATCTGAGATGAGTTAACTTTGAAGATGTTTAACAAAAATTCAAACCACAGCGACCTCTCTCTTAGCAAATATGTCAAATATGAAAGAAAAAGTATTCATTTAGGAAAGACACATCATAACTACAGAAGTTCAGACGCCTCAGCAGCACTTTATAATGGCTACCATTCCAATGGTTTGATGCTCTTAACGAACAGATGCTGTTTGCTGTAACTGTTAAGATTAGTGTCCCATGTCCCCTCGTATGTTGTGTTTGTGTTTTTGCCCTCTACTGTCAATCAAATTTCCCCTCGAGGGCCAATAAAGATCTGAACTGAACTGAACTGAACGGAGCAACTTAATGAACGTGCAGTTTCAAATTCTTTCATCCCCAGTTTGCAGAGGCATTGAGTAGTTCTCTTTGTATAAATGTAAGTACATTCATTGAAAAGCTCTTCACTATGCTCACAGTTAACTGAGCACTGATGCCCTGCAAGTACCATTCTCTGTCACCTATATAAAATTGAGTAATCTTTCTCCAACTACAGCATATAGGAAAGTGGTCAAAGCACATTTCTCTAATTAATAGGTGCACTCTGAGCGAAGTGCAAGCCCCTACTCAATCAATACACTGTGGAGTTTTTCCAGATGCTTTAAGTTAGGTGTACTGGTTAATGCACTGCCGTAAGAAATCAGCAATTCAGTGCATCATGGCTTCTCTGTGGCCGGAAAAAACACTTTCTTTCACTCTACAGTTTGGGAAGCTGAGGCTGCATTCACACGTGTCGAGATTACTGATATGTTCAGAGACTAAGTGGTCTTTCTCATCAGCCACTTTGTATCCTCACTGTGTGGAGAATGTCAGAGTTAGTCTGCTGGATCTGATGGGAGACATGTCACGGGTGGCTACAAGAATGTCATTTTCACAATGCTGAAAGGTCATTTAAATACTGAGCAATAGGTTTCAACCTGTCCCTCTGCTCCTCAGATTCTAATTACCTCCCCTCTTGTTTGGTCGACCAGAGTGCATCTCAGCAAATACTCAGCCATCCAAATTTTGAGTTTACATGAAGGTTGAAGAGTTCTTTGCTATTTTCTGGTTGTTTTTTGTGATTTAAACATAATTGTTTGGCCTCCTCTGCAGGAAGGTCAGAGGTCAAGAACAGAACAGAGTCCCTGCAGCTGGGGGGGATATCCTGAAGTCCTGCGCAAGGACACTTCAAGTCACAGAGACTTTCCTAATGTCTTTTACCACATGTAGAGAAGGACTTTCATGTACTTCCAAAATCAAAACAGAGAGAAGGAGCCAAGTTTGAAAGTGCTGAGCTGATACTAATGTAAGGACACATTTCACATCAATAAGCCTTACTGAGATAATGATGAACAAATAAACTCATTAAAATGCAGGAACAGAGCGGGATGCTGGGATTCACTTCAAAATGTTTTAAACTCTAGACCCCAAACTCCTCATTGTTGAGCTTCAATGTCCGCGAGTACTATTTTTTTTTTCAACCACACAAAGGTGACAAATGCTAAATAAATAATAATTGTGATGATTAAAGTTAATTCTGAACCTTGGAGCTATTTTGCCAAACCACTTCAGTCAAATCAAACTGCTTAAACTGCTGAGAAAGAAAGTGGGAAATTGTAGAACATGGTGTTATTTTCTCAATTAATTGATTAATTAATAAATCTTTTAGTCTGTAAAATGTCAACAGTTAAAATAATCCAAAGATATTTAATTTGCCATCATATAAGTGTTAGAATACTATTAAATTAAGTTAGGAGGCTTGTTTTTGCTTTAAAAAAACTCAAAACTTGAAACTAATCACTAGTTGAATACTAGTTAAAAGCTCCTGATAAGATAGTACATTGACCTTTAATTAAGTGTTTTAAGTAATCCCTCCTCAAAAACACCATTACTAAGAAAACATCTCTATCAACCCATAATCCAGTTTTAAATTTGTCATAAAAGGCCTTTTTAGTATCACT